CTGGGAGGGCTGCGGAGGGGGCCGGGCCGAAGTCCGAGCTATTCCTGGGCAACGTGGAGGTGTGAGCGCCCGCGGGCCTCCCCTGCTTGGGGGAGGTGTCGTTTGCGGGAGCTGGTAAATAAAGCGGAGGCGTTCCCAGCGTCCGCGACCCCGCAACACCCACCGGAGCTCGCCCCTGCCCCCGTGCTGGGCTTCTCCGGGGCAACCCCGGTGTCTGTTCGTGGTGAGCGGAGCTCTGGAGCGCACGCGGAGGGTCTCAGGTGTGAGTTTATTAAGTAAAGTCCGCGTTGCACCCAGTGACAGGGAGAAGAGGAGGGGGAGGGAGCAGGCATCCCTCCGGAATAGCTTTGGGAGGCGCCCGGCTGCCCAGAAGCGCTGTTCTAGGTGCCTGAGCTCTGCGTTTCGGGCTTGTGTATGCAAATGACCATTGCAATTCAGGTTTGCCTCTTGACTAGCTCCCAACCTGTTCTGCTGTTGTGGAGTAGAGCCTTTAGAACTAGTCTGCTTAGTCACCTGCTTGTGTTGCTGTCCAAGACCTGTTTATTTCCAGAGATAGGTTGGAGTGTGCAAAAATGACTTTTTTTCTTCCTTCTAGGAGACTGAGCTCTGTGGTACAAAAATAACGAAATCCGCATGATATCCCAATCTGTTAGCGGTGATCAGACATAGATTAGCTTCATTCTACCCGATTCGGACTCTTTAACACTGTAAAAGCAGGTTTGGGTGATGCACAGGTCTCTGCAAATATTCTTGCAGGGGCTGGACTCATTAAGGCAGCATCCCTGTCTTGCTGGCTCTGTTGTGCAGCATTATGTAATCCTAGACACAAGCACAGAACTGGCATCTGAAGCTGGGCTTGTTCTTAAGTGCTCTCAGGCAATCACTGCAGGAACAGATGTATTAAATCTGAAGTGTGTGCCTAGATCACATTATTTTTCAGGGCATTGTTCAAACTGCTAACTCAGAACTACGTTTTAATCTAAATTTTATTTTTGTGGAGATGTGTGTGTGTATATATATACACTTGTATCTTTGGAACAGCCATGACTGTGTTCCTCCAGAACACCCATCTTAATTAGAAGTAGCGCTGTCATATAGGGTTACATTACTGTGTAAACATTAACTAGCTACTCGCTCTGCCAAATGGAAATTAAAGCAATGAGGACTTCAAGCTGGTGTGAGCTGCTTAATAGCTGCTTTGGCTGGCCTCCATTGGACTGGACTTGTTGCGGTACTGTCAGGCTCAGCTGTACTGACGAGCTGCAGGAGGTGTTCAGAAAGGGATAACGTGCATTCACTGAAAGCAGTCCCGCTCATTTTGGTAGTTCAAGTACTACTGTAAAGGAACTATCATGTGTAACTCTTGGGTTTGGTGGGGGAAGAGCTTGGGAAAATTTGAATTGAAATAACTTGAATTTTTGTTGTTCCTAAAGCCTCTAGGGATGCACATGCTTTAGAGATCTTTAAGCAGGTAACTTGAGGAGAAAAAAAAACCACACCAAAACAACAAACTGTTGCAGCGGTCTGCTGCTGACAAGTATTTTGAGTGGTAAAGGAACTTAAAATGCACCTTACTAGCTTGCTGGAAGCCGATCTATAAATTTTTATGTGGCTGGGCAGTTATGTTTATCATGTCTTTCAAGTCAGTTGGTGCAAGTGCAGTGATGCCCAGACAGACTGCATGTGTAGTTTCAGGCAGAAGTTGTAACATGCTCACTGCTATATAAAGTAAATTATTCCTGGCTTTGAGTTGTTAAATATCTGGAAAGATACACTGTTGTAAAGTTTCACTATTTTTCTTCTAGTAACCTCTTTGAAGTCTTCTGCTTCTGTTTGTTGTAGGTCTTATCGCAGTCTGTTTGAAAAACTTTGTTAAAATGCATAGTCACCGTAGTCTTTCCTAATGCTAACAAAGTGCTGGTCTAACTTCCTTCTTTGCAAGGCTGAAAACCTTCCTCGTAGTGGTATATTGCTTTCTAATCTCTTCAGAAAACTCATGCTTTTCTGAAGGAAAGCCTTTGATCCTGAGTAACCTGATCTGTTTGATTCTTTGGAGCAAGGGAGACTGAACTTAGACTCTGTCTAGAGGGGTTCCTTCCACCCTCGATTTTGTGGTTCTCTTCCAGAATTTGTCATTTGACAACTGCTTTTGAGATCTGACTTCATTTGGGTAGTCAAAGTGTGAGTAGCAATTGTTTGGATTTGAAGAAAAGGAGTCTTCGGGAAGTGTTGTTGAAAACTAGTTCAAGAGAAAGATAGCTCTAGTGTTGCACTGTAAAAAATAGAAGCATTATTGACTAGTAAATTTTGTGTATTCTATGCTTTCACATTACGAAAAAGGTTCTCTTAAATTAATGTTAAGAAACAAGGATGGATAGAAGCCTGAGCGTGAGGATTAATGAATTTAGGCCTGTTGACTCAAGCAGTGAATAATCTGAGCTTGCTTTAAGTGGCGCTGGGCTGTCTGCTGCTGGTAAGAAGCAATATAAATAGGAAAGGTAACATACATCTTTGAGTCAGCTAAACTCCTAACATCTGCTGAGTATTGTGTGGAAATAACTGTCCTTCTCTTGTAGATGCCTTCAATTAAACTGCAGAGTTCCGATGGAGAGATCTTTGAAGTTGATGTTGAAATTGCAAAGCAGTCTGTGACTATAAAGACTATGCTGGAAGGTAAGAGTACGAAGCCTTGAAGGCTACTGGCTCGTGCAGAGGTCGTGGTGTTTTCGGGGAAGCTCCCTGAACACGGGTTGTAACCAAAGGAGACAAACGGGTGCTGAAAAAAGAATTCCCAGGCAGCTCGCTGTCTTGTGTCAGAGCAGCTGGAGCAATCGCCGCTGTTGTAAAAGTTAAGCAAATGGAATGTATTTAAAAATAAGCTTTTTTTCTTTAATCATACCAATCATTCTTACAATGTAAATGTCTTTTAAATGGGGTGGGAAATCGTACACCAATGCAAGGAGGAAAGAGCTCAAGTGAAACCTGTCTTGTGAGCTTATGGATGCAGTTAAATTATTTGGGATAAACACTTAGTTCTGATCTCCTGCTGACATAAGTTTGAAACAAAAGAACTCATGGTGGGGGAGGGGAAATCTGCCAGATGGCCAGGGTGCAGAGCAAACTGTGTCTAATCCCTCCAGTGCAAATCCTCATTGTTTACTGCTGTTTTTCCCCAGTTTTTGGGTGTATTCATGAATTACTGTAGAAAAGAAAAATCTTTCCGTAGATGTAGTTAAAGTGATGTTCTTGGGTGTAAATCTTTGTTGGCTTGTGACACGTTTTACATCCAAACGAGAAGGTTTAAACACTCCTGGCACTGAATGCTTTCATTCTGCCAGCAACCTGCTGGTGAACACGGCCAGCGAGATGAGCAGGAACCGTAGCGATGGGTTGGAATATGTCAGGGAGCACAATTCTTCTCAGCTTTCTCATTCGGTAGTTGCGTCAGTGCTGGTGCTTAGTGATGCTCGGGTGTTGGTGAAAGCGAAGTTTTGCGTGCTGGCTGTAACTCTTGCTCTTCTGGGTGAGAACCAGTCTCTGAAATGCGTTTGCTGTACGGCTGGTTAAGCATCAGTTAATAAACAATGTGTTGGGTGATGCAGCTGAAAGGTGCCGTTGTGTTGAACGTCGTGGGGCCACCAGTGAAATATCAGTTTTCCTGATAAGAGATGAAATTGCTGTTTTGGAGGTGGTGGGAATGAGTTGAGTGGAGTTAATTCAAGCAATATCTTGCATTTAGTTATTTCCCTGTACCAAGTATTTTGGGCTGGTCACTTGCACTAGTATCAGGCCTCATGTTCAAAGTACGTGTCTGAAGTTTCTGTTGTGATGTGTGCAGTACGCTTTAATGTCAGTATTTTAGTTTCTGATTCTATGAAATTTATTATTTTAAACAAAAAGTAGTGCTAATCTCTCACTAATAATGAGTAGCTGACTTCCCTAAATACAGAAATATGTGCTCTTTTGTGCCCAGATTTGATCAGTGATGATAGTGTGACAATCACCTGTTCTTAAAAATGAAGTTCCTTGCTGATCTAAACTGGCTCATCTGTGTCTTATGATGAGTGAAGGTCTGTGTAGTTAGTTATGTAACTAATTACAAGATCTTAATCTTTGACAGCTAGAGTGTCATCCAACTGTTAGCATTTGCGTAATAAAAAAGACATTCTCTAATCAAAGATGGCTAATGTGGCATTTGTGCTGTGTATCAAGTCCAAATTTTAATTATGTTTTTCTCTAAATTTTTACTTTGATTCCTTAATTGTATCAAGGGGACAAAATGCCAAACGTTATCCAAATCTGTTGTGAGCATGCTGATGAACTTTTAAAAGGAGGTGCATCAGAAGCATGCCTTATAAATGCTTTTTTGATGGAAGGATTTTTGCTGCTGTCTTAGCATGTGAACTTGAAACAGCTGGTAAGGATCAGGACAAGTGCTTCAGAGCCGGATAACTGGCACCTCTCTGCCTACAGGATCTGCTGCTGCTGTAGAGGACAAAATATTGTCTCTACTTCCCACAGTAGACCGAATTCTTATGTACTAGTAAATGAAATGGGAGATCCTGATTGGAACAGTTTGATTTAACTTGTGGATTGAACTGTTGAAAGTGGTAAAAAGACATAAATATTTGATTCTCCACCTTACCCTGTTCTTGGAACACTGACCTAGAAAGTTCTGATCTGAAAAGTGACTGACTGCTTATCCGATGGCTTTTGTTTGATGAAGTAGCCTTATTAACTCTGAGCCTAAATTTGGTATAACCTAATGTGTATAATGCAGCTGTGGCTTCACAAAGCCTTGTTGAAGCTTTCTAAAAGCTTCCGACTTGACCAGTTAGAGATCCTTTGTTACCAGTCCATCCAGCCTCGGTGCTGTTGGAACAGTGAAGAACTGGTGAAGGAGTCTGGTTCAGAGAAGAATAAAAGGGGTTTGCCTTCCGGTTGCTTAGTCATCTTTTCATTTTTAGATTTGGGAATGGATGATGAAGGTGACGATGACCCAGTCCCTCTTCCGAACGTTAATGCCGCTATCTTAAAAAAGGTAAGATGCTGAGGGCGATAGTGTTGCATGGCAGTAATCAAAGGTGAAATTCATGTTGGGTGTTATGAACTATTGTATTAAAAATGCTTTTCATGTGCCAGCTACAAGCTTAACCGATGCGAGGTGCATGATTTAGGGTGTCTGGGGTATCTGAGAACTGGGGTGAGGTCGACAGGCAGATGATGGCAGAAGACCTACAGAAGGGTGGCCTTCTGAAACAGCAGCTGGAGACCGGATGGACTTCTAAGGTATCGAAGTGGTGCTGGGCATCTGTGCACCCTGATGTTTCATAGTATTAAAACACTGATTTTAGTTGGATTCTGTGAACTGAGGTGGCAGTTTAGGAGATCCAAATGTTAGGGGAAAGGATGAAAGGACAGGCAGGGGTGAGAGTAACAGGCAGTGGCTGTGCCTCTGGTCAGGTGAGAAAAGTGCAGAAGTATTTTGCTGTCTTCTAAGATGCTTTTTGCTCTGAAGTAGGAAGTGTTGTGGCAAAGTAAGCACTGGACTGTTGTGGGGTAAATACAGGGTTAGGAATTATTTCCCAGTGAACATGCAAGTAAATATCTTCAAACTCATGAAGACTCCTGGGTTGGCAAAATGGAACAGGAATTGGCTTGTGGTAATCCCTGTTGTTTTTAATTGTCTGGGTGCTGAGGCTGCATGTTCACAAGTTGTTGGTGCTTTTTTTTCTATTTTAAAAAACAAACTTTTGCCAGGTGAGCTTTGTACTGGGGGGAACATGTCCTGCTGGGAGCTATTACCACTCTTCACTCTTCTCCTGTATAGTTTTCTGCTTAGTAAAGATTGTTTCTGCAAACAGATTAAACATCACGCGATGAGGTTTAGGTTTTCTTTGTACAGTCCTATGTGTGTTAGCACAGGGCTTAATAACTTTATAATCCCAGCAGTTGGCTTTTTAAGATGGTACGTAGTTAACTAGCTGCTGTCTCAGATGGGATTCTTCAAGGCTGTTGTACTCCAGGATCGAGGATCAATTGTTCTAAACCAAAACCACTGCCTGTCGGTCTAGAGAAAAAGGTGCTTTTCTTCTGAAATGAAGTTATAGTTGGGGCCTAGTGGGAGAATCATTGGGATAAAACTTTAATATCAAAACTGTAATTAGGTGATTCAGTGGTGCACCCATCACAAGGATGATCCACCTCCTCCAGAGGATGATGAAAACAAAGAAAAAAGAACAGATGACATCCCTGTGTGGGATCAAGAGTTTCTGAAAGTAGACCAAGGAACACTTTTTGAACTTATCCTGGTAAGTATAGTCACAAAGTGAAAGGTTACCCTGTGAAGAGTGCTTATTTATTTATAAAGTCTTTAAGCTTCTTGAATAACTCCTTCATTAGGAGAGGGACTGTGGAGGGGGCAAGTAGTTTTGGCAGATACTGGCTGCAATTGTTGAGGGTGTTAGAATGGTGGTTAACCTATTGCTAGGCGAATGATCTGTACTTGCTCATTTATCAGTTAATGTATTTTTCTGAATATGGGGCCCTACAGCTGTCTGTGTCCTCATGGCTCTCGAGTCTTAGTTGAGGGCTTGTTATTAGAAATGGAGTTCTAGAGGTCTGCATACAAATGAAAATTTGGCTTTGACTTTTAAAATCTGTACCTCTACGGTACTGTGAGCCAAAACTCCTTGTCTTAGTTATCAGTACTTCAGCACCAAAGGGTTTGGATGCTTGCAGCTTTCTGAAAGCTCTTTGTAAAAGGAGAACGGTCTGGGAGGTGTCCTTCATGAAACTCCTTTCCCTTCTGTTTGGCCAAGCAAGCTTTAGGTACTTTTGCTTCAAGCTTCTAACTAGAAGCTTCTCAGAGTGGAGATGATCTGTTTGCAGTTACTGTGTTCTACAATTTCAGTGTAAGTGTAACTTTGGGAGTACATCTCCAGAGGCAGACTATTGATATGGAGGCTTTAAATTTGGAAACTCTTCTACAGGCTGCAAATTACTTGGACATCAAAGGTTTGCTTGATGTCACATGCAAGACAGTTGCAAACATGATCAAGGGGAAAACTCCAGAAGAAATTCGCAAGACATTCAATATTAAGAACGACTTCACTGAGGAGGAAGAAGCACAGGTACTTGAACTGTTCTTTTTTTTGTGTGTGTGTGTGATGAGTTGTTGTGTGGGGCTTCCTAATTTAATGCATAGTCTGACGGACTTGTTAACTGTAAATGTAAATTGATGCATCAGCTTCTCATAATTGGTTTGCTGCTAGTGCAAGATGTTTCGGTGCTTGCAGCCCCTTACTTGAGAAGATTGAAACAAATCATATCGATTTCCTAGCTCAAATATATGTGGTAAGAAAAAAACCAGAGTTGTTTGTGGCAGCTGGTTTGGAACTGCAGTAAGAATGCTGAAGGATGGGTTGTTGCATGTGGCTAGAAAGGTGAGGTGCTTGGACTCCCCGTCTTTAATGAACTCTGTCTCAAACAGCAAACCAACTGCAAAAGAGCCCATTTGGGAAAGATTGGGATGAAATGCCTTGTTTGACTCTGAAGGCAGTGGATTGTACACCTGGGTTTGTCCTCAATGCTCTGCCATATAATGAGAAATACACTCTTAAGCTAGTATCTTTGCTTTGCTTGGTGAGGGGGGAAAAAAGCAGTTCTGGTCAAATATAGGCATGAGAAATGAATTTATTGGCTTATTGATAATAAACAGGTCAGTTTGGAAGACTAACTTTACGGTTACGAACTCGGTGCGAAAAATCAAAGCTGCTTCCAAGCTTCTGCCTCCCTGCAATAAGTGATCCGGAATGCTCGTAGGAATTTGCAGCTCACTTTCAGAAGTTTGCTGCCACGTGTTAATAGTTAAAATGTTCTTTCAGGTACGTAAAGAGAACCAATGGTGTGAAGAGAAGTGAAGTATTGTGCCTGACACTCGAACACTGTAAGGATTGTTCCAAATACTAGTTGCACTGCTCTGTTCATAATTGTTAATATTAGACAAATGCAGCAGCAAATGAAGTTGTGTTAGCAGGATATCGTTCCTTTTGCATGTGCAGTGTTTTTTTGAGTACAAATTTCAATCTTCTGAGTTTTTACTAGTGTAATTGGATGTCTTTTTACTTTGCAACGAATAAAACCGATCTAAGTGTGGATTCTGTATGGGAAGTAGCACTTAAGGTAAACCATTTTCATTACGCTTTTAACCTGTTCAAGTTCAGTTACAGTGCTAGGGATTGACTCCATTGTAAATAAAGCCACCTATGCCTTCTTCCTCAAGAAGAACAGAACACTTGTATTTACAGGGTATTGGTAGCTTCAGAAAGAAAAACTAGAATGTGTCTTGGGGAACTAGGTAAAGTGAGAAAAGTTACAGGATTTCTTCCAAAACCATCGTGAGGAAGATGAGTGTTAAAGTGTGCATTGAAAAGGAAAAGAGAAAAAATATTTGACCACTTTCTTGTCCTGTTAAACTTTCCTTATAGACTAGTGGAAGATGTGATCTAGAACTAAGCAAGCTCCTGACAGTTCAATTTGAATACTTCAACCATGTCTTGAAGACCTGCCTCTAGCTGGTAGCAGATGAAAAGTGTGTTGCTTTATGCACAGGATGGTGTGTTTTTATATGTTGTTATTAGAAGTGGAATCCAGATTTGACCAAAAAATACTGACATTACCAAAGTTAATACTATTGACCTGTGCATGCCATTAGTGGCTGGTTTTTAGGCAATTTTAAACAACCCTTGTGATGTAGCTCTTTAAAACATGGTTTAATGTGTCCACAGGAAATCTTCTGCCTCTGTATGTGATACTTTAGCTTGTAGAGACTTAATTATTGCATACAAAGCTAATGCAATATCAAGCTTAACTTCTTTGGACAAAGCCACTTGCAACTAGTTAAACAGTAACTGGTTTTCTGATTTTTTTTTTTTTTTTTTACAGTTCCCTTATAGGGAGTAGGGGATGGGTTGTGTGGTAGATCTTTGAGGTGTGCTCTTAGCTTGTATTGCATTCCATTCTCTGTATAAACGTTAGAGTAGAACGAACCTTAATAAACATACTTATCTCACTTTAAATATCAGTGTTTCACTTCTGAATTAATAAAGGGCTTTTAAACTTTGGTTTGCAAATGGTTCTAGTTATTTGAAACTAGATGATCTTGCTGTCACTTATTACCGAGTGCTGGAATCGAGCACTGAGGCAGTGGTTAGCTGCAATAAAACAGATGTAAAGGTCTTGCATCCCACGCTGCAAACAACGAACCTCAGCTATTAGAGAAAAATCTTGTGAGGCCAATTCTTTCTGTGGCTTGATTGGTACCTTAATATTTAGTTTATGCTGGATTCTTACAATACAAAGTCCATCCATGTGTGAAGCTTGTGCTCCAGAAGATACTGATTCATTCTTGGAGTGCTCTGCTGCCATTAGAGGAGCCGGGACTGTAATTGGGTTGGGTGGAAGCCTGTGTAAATTCCTTCAGGTGCTCATCACCAGACCAGGGGCCGTGTTTGTTTGTAGCTGCTGCCTCACCTGCTGCCTCGCCACACTGTAGCATGAGGAAGAGATGAAGACATGTCGTTTGTCTCGCTCGTTACCTTGCTTCTGCTTTGATGTATCTGCATAAAACACACCTGTGACCCTGTGGTAAGACTGGCTCACTCTTAGAACAGCCCTAAAACATAACCCTGTGGTCGTGGCGGAGCCTCTGAAGCTCCAGGGCTCTGCTGTTGGTCCTGATGCAAGCGTGGAGGTTGCTGCCGGGCGGGAATGGGAGGGCTGGGCTGGCTGCTCAAAGCATGACAGAGCTTTAACAGCTTTTAACACTGGTAGTTGGGATTCCAGACAACTGACTTTATCCAGATGCAAGATCTGTAGCTCCCTGATGGGTATGTCAGGATGAGAAAACACCTTTCTATAGTCTGTGGCGGTACACCCTTGCAGTTGGCTTCTCTCATAATGTGTGAAGGACTCCTCAGGAAGGTGCTGGGACAGCTCCGTGTCCCACCTGCTGCTTCTCTTGGGCTGAACCCGAGAGCTCCCCGCTGCTGTCACAGGTACCAGGTGTGTGCTCTGGAATTCCCGAAAGGCAGAGACCATCCAACTTCCTACTTTTAAACTTTATATTGCTGGTTAACTTGGATGGTGCTGCCTTAACTCTTTTATTTTTTATTTTTTTATTTTTTTTTAAGCCAGGATGTGATGAGGGATTGCACTTCTTGGCTAAAGTGAAGTGCAGGGTAGGGAGTGGGAAGGCAAGGTGTAGATAGCCATTGCCAAAAAAGGGATATTTTTTTCCCCCTTAGGCTTGGTTTACTATTTCAGAAGACTTGGCAATTATTCTGAAACCTAGTCATACGTATAAATGCTGAGGGGAGGAGGAATCTTCCTGGGCTTCTAAGAAATAGTTATTTGAGAGTGTGATAGGATTATAACCTCCAGTGGCCTATTTTGAATAGCCAGTCTGGCAATTACTTTATTTATAAAGCTATAAACATATTTTGAACATAAGCCAAAAAATACAAACTCAATGAAGTAAAAAAAAATTACAACAAGTGATGGATAGTCACTGGACAAATGAAAGTACAGCTGCAAAACATTTATCCCTGCTACATACATACAGTGGTTTTACTTGGTTTAATGAAGTGGTACTTCTACATTCAAACCGATTTCAGGAATTCAAATGCGTATTTGAGGAAGAGTTGAAATTGCTGTAAAAGAACTAAAGTGTTGTGACAAAAACTTAAGGGCAAAGTTTTCCTTCTATTAAAAAAAAAGACGAGTAAGAACACAAAATAGTAACACTTCATACAGCATTTTGAAAGGCGCTTTTTTTGGCATTAATCAAAGGAACTTTGTTTTGGCATCGGTTATCAGCCGTGGGGCGTTTAATGAAAGTTGGTCGTGCTCGCTGTTTTATCTTGGAAAGGGGCAGCTCAAAGTTCTCTTACCTTGTGTGTTTTGGGAGAAGGAAAAAAAAAAAAGATTAAATTTTCTCTGTAACACCAGTATAAACTGACGATGTTAGAGTTCACCAGGTGGATATTCTGAGTTTATACTGTGGTGACTGAAAGCAGGGGGTAAAGTCTGACTAAACCTGTAGGTGTGGAGCAGAGCATGGGCTCAGACCAACCTGGGGCTCAAAATGTGGTCTTGTCCAACCACAAACAGTGTAACTGCTCCGGCTCTGGGGCTGCGGAAACACTTGTGTGCTGTGAACGCAGGAGGGAAAGCTCCCGGAGCAGGGGCAGGAGGTTGCCTTAAGGAGATTTTGCAGGAATTGGATGGAATAAAAACGAGAGGAGGCTGTAATACAGATGGACTTTTGGCTGGTCAGCGTGCCCTGACCTGGGGCAGGAATCCACGGCACCACGGAGGGGCTGACGTAGCCTTGAAAATAAATGGGTGAAAATCCTGAATTCTGCAATGAATGACAGCTGGTGTGGGGACACTAGTGCTGTTTGGCCCTGAGTCAGGAGATGCAGTTTAATCCTGCTCAGGACTTCCCCTCAAATCTCCTCTGGCATTATTTAGACACATCTGCTTTTTCTTTTATACCTGCCCTTTGCCTTGCTGCCGAGTTACACCTTCTGTCCAACCGCAAAAATACCCGTCAGGTATGAAGTTACGGCAGCTTTGCACCCAGGGCTGAGTTCTGCTGGGCCGCCGCGGCGGATCTGTCATCTGTGGTGTCCATAGGAACTGACACTTCTACAGCACCTTAACATCTCAGAGAGACAAATGGTGAGCTGAGACGCAGCTATTTTTATAAGCGTTTGTAATTTTTTTTTAAATTTTTTTTTTAAAATCAAGATAAAAAGAGCCTGCTAGATCTGGGAAGAGTCTGCTGAGTTCTTCTGTTCGTGCTGTTGTCTAAGCTTGCTAAAAATAATTTTAAAATGAGCAGATTGCGGATTGATCTAGTGCTCTAGAATTAACCCTCTGAGTGCAGTAAGTCTACGACTGAGTGTGCAGCTGGCGGTCGGTTCAGATAATGCTGCTTCTCTAAGGGTTAAAATGATTCTTTCGAGCTTCCAAATGACTCTTTTTCCAACTTGTCAGGTTTGTGCACGTAGCTTTCGTTCAGTGCTTATAAAGTTACATGTACACAGGAGAGGAATAAAGCATTAGGTTTAGACCTTCTAAGCTAAAACTGGAATTTAAAAATCTACACTACTGTAAGCAAAAGTACTAAATAAACGGAATAAACCCAAAGCTTCTCTACTGACTAATGAGTTGTTTGGTTTTTTTTTTTCCTAAATTTTCAATCTCTGAGGCATAAACTTGTTGAAAAAGTTAATGTTTAGTCCGATGTAAAAAATTAGGGTTTGTGTTTTTTTGCGTTAAGAAAAAAAATATAAAAATATTTTGTACATTATAAAGGTCATCTTAAATTTCTTGCAGTTCTACAATAATATTACTACATAGTTTGTATTCAGTACTCTAAAACCTATTCTGTAAAGTAGAAATTTTCCCCCCCCCCCCTCTGTGTGGTGTTATTTTTCTCTTCAGCAGTTTAGGCTACAGTTCTTTTAAGGAGGAAAAAAATCTGCACCGGACTAGACCGTGGTCTCAGTGAGAAGTCTGTAAACCTGAAGTAAATCAAGAACTTGGATTAATTTGGGATTTACGTCGGTTCAAGGAGTTCACACTCTGTCCACCGTGTTTCTTGCTTATCAAAATATAAATAAAACACCAGAAACTGGCAAATGTGTTCAAGCTGGAGAGAATACGTTGACATTTGATCCTCATGGGCGTGGAGGGAGGATCCTATAGAAAAAACTAGAATAAGTTTGTTTTTAAAAAGTTATGCACCAAATAATAATAATAAAAAAAAAAAAGGTTCTGATCTCGAGGGGGGTCCATACAGATCCATACAGCCAGAGAGCAGGTTAACGTGCCGTCCTGCTGCCAGACCGCCCTCGGGAAGGGGAGAGCTGAGCCTGGGGGCAGAGATTGCACCTCTCCTCCCTCCTGGTCGCTGGGCCACTGTGGGGGCTCGTTGGGCTACTGCCACCCTCTGCCTTGGGCCAGCCTGCCCAGGCCGTGGCAAACTGAGTTTTGAGGCTTTGCCCAGCTGAGCTGGTGAGACTCGGTGATTCCCAAGAGCAAGGGAGACGCCGCACCTCACGGCC